TATAAGCAATATAAAATTATATGAAAAGATAATATACATTACATATATACATAATAATCATTGTAACCCATTCAGGGGTTGCAACACTTCACCTGGTCTGTTCTACCGGACTTACGTGACAGCGATCATTTTCCAATCATTCTTATTTCACCTTCCTATTCACCGCCTTTCCGTAGCCCTCGCTGGCAATTTGATCTGGCAAACTGGGACCTTTACTCGCAACTCACCGCTTTTAGTGAGGTTCCTTCTTCATCCTCCATTGATGAGCTCCTACACCTCTTCTCAACGTCAGTTTATACCGCACCTTCTCATTCTATACCCCAAACCTCAGGCAGGCATTCTCAGGAGTGCATGCCTTGGTGGTCTCCTGCTTGTGCTCGTGCAGTACGTTTGAAACGTGCTGCATGGGGCAGGTACCGGTACAATAGAACCGCTGAAAGACTTCTTGATTTTAAGCAGAAGCGTGCGATCGCTCGCCGTGTCATCCGTGAAGCTAAATGCACTTGCTGGCGAGACTATGTTTCCACCATCACCTCTGCATCTTCTATGAGTGCAGTCTGGAAAAAAAGTGAGGAAATTGAGTGGTAAATACTCTCCTGACCCGGCTCCTGTTCTACGGATCGCTGGTGTTGATGTAGCAAACCCTCTCGACGTTGCCATTGAACTTGGCACACATCTGGTCTGTATTTCCCGGGGGCTCCATCTATGCCCCTTGTTTCTTTCCTCAAAGTCTGCTAGAGAGTTAGCACCCTTGGACTTTTCTTCTCTCGGAGAAGAACAGTATAATGTGAAGTGTAACTTCAAGAACTGGAGGCAACGCTCTCAGCTTGCCGATCATCGGCAGCTGGACCTGACGGCATTCACATTCGTATGTTACAACATTTACATCACTCAGCCCTTGTAGTTCTCTTACACCTCTTCAATCTTATTTGGGCACAAGGAGTTCTTCCCCAGCTGTGGAAATCTGCCATTGTTCTCCCTTTTCGCAAACCGGGTACTACAGGACATGATGCCTCCCACTATCGTCCCATCGCTCTTACTAGTGCAGTTTGCAAAGTGATGGAACGTCTCATAAATTGACGTTTAATGTGGTATTTAGAGACACACAACAGTCTCTCCGCTAGTCAATATGGCTTTCATAAGGGCTGTTCTACCATAGACCCCTTACTACACTTGGATACATATGTTCGTAATGCCTTTGTGAATAATCACTCAGTTATTGCCATATTTTTTGACCTTGAGAAGGCATATGACACAACTTGGAGGTATAATACTTTGGCCCAGGCTCACTCCTTAGGCCTCCAAGGCAATCTACCATCCTTCCTTAAGAACTTTTTAACTGACAGACATTTCCGTGTTCAAGTCAATAATGTGCTTTCCCCGGATTTCGTCCAAGCTGAAGGTGTCCCTCAGGGATGTGTTCTAAGCACAACACTTTTTCTCCTTGCTATAAATGATTTGACCTCTGTTCTTCCACCCAATATTTGGTCATCACTCTATGTTGATGACTTCGCTATTGCTTGTGCAGGCGCTGACTGTCATCTCATTGCAGTTTCTCTCCAGCATGCGGTCGACCGTGTTTCCACTTGGGCCACCACGCATGGGTTTAAATTTTCCAGTACCAAAACTCACCAAATTACTTTCACTAGATGCTCTGTCATCTCCGATCATCCTTTGTATCTCTATGGCTCCCGTATCCCTGAACGTGATAGTCAGGTTTCTAGGCCTTCTCTTTGACTGTAGGTTATCCTGGAAACCTCACATTACCTCTCTAAAGGTAACTTGTCACAGCCGGCTAAACCTTCTTAAAACCCTTGCTCATCTTTCCTGGGGAGCTGATCGTTGAACTCTGCTTCGCCTACATTCAGCCCTCATTTTGTTGAAACTCGATTATGGTGACCAGATTTATTCAGCGGCCTCTCCTGCTACTCTCTCTAGCCGTAACCCCATCCATCACCAAGGATTACGTTTGTGCCTTGGTGCTTTTCGCTCTTCCCCTGTTGAGAGCCTCTACGTAGAAGCGAATGTTCCATCCTTGTCTGATCGCCGTGATGCCCATTGCCTTCGCTACTATGTACGCTCTCACGATCTCCACAATCCTTCCATTTATAGAATGGTCACCAATATTAGTAGACATTCTTTATTCGTTCGCCGCCCCTGTTTGCTCCGTCCCTTTTCTCTTCGCCTACATTCGCTCTTGTCTTACCTTCAGTTACCACCTTTATATGTTCATGTAGCATCTCACGTTTCCCTACCCCCCTGGGAAGTTCCAGCTGTTCGGGTCTGTTCTTTCTCACTCCCTTGCTCGAAAGCTCAACTGTTTACGGTGGCTTCCCGCTCTCTTTTTCTTGATCACTTCCACTCCCATTCTCATGCCATCACTGTGTACACAGATGGCTCTAAGTTTTCAGACGGCGTCGGATTCGCAGCAGTGTTTCCGGACAGCGTCATGCGGGGGCAATTACTATCTTCGGCTAGCATTTTTACTGCTGAATTGTATGCCATCCTTGCAGCACTTATTCGTATCGCATCTATGCCTGTGTCATCATTTGTGGTAGTCTCCGACTCCCTTAGTGCTATACAGGCTATACGAAAATTTGATACATCTCGCCCCCTAGTTCTCCGTATCGAACTTTGGCTACGCCGTATCTCTACCAAGCATAAAGATATTATTTTTTGTTGGGTCCCTGGTCATGTCGACGTACAGGGCAATGAACAGGCAGACACTGCTGCGCGGTCAGCAGTACATGACCTACCAATTTCCTATCAAGGTGTTCCATTTCTGGACTATTTTGCTGCAATAGCTACCCACCTTCACACCCGTTGGCAACAACATTGGTCAACTCTGCTTGGTAACAAACTTCATTCTATTAAACCGAGCATAGGTTACTGGCCTTCTTGTCAACAGTGCCGTGGTTGGGAGACCACTCTCTCCCGCCTTCGCATTGGCCACACTCGTCTTACTCACAGGTATCTGATGGAGAGGCACCCTGTTCCTCTCTGTGAGCAGTGTCAAGTTCCAGTATTGATTAGCCACATTCTGTTAGACTGCCCTCTCTATCAACGAGCACGCAGAATTTACCTCCAACGCCGTCTTCGTTCTACTACTCTCTCTTTCCTTCCCTTCTTGCTGATGGACCCTCCTTTAACCCTTTCAGGGTCCGTCCCGTAGATCTACGGCTTTACGGTGAGTGTCCAAACCGTAGATCTACGCCATGAGCTCAGCTCACTCTGATAAACTGTGAGTGGTACATTTGGGCCTAGATATGAGAGAATACATCTATGTGGTATGTGTGCACCACATAAAAGAGATCCTGCAGCACACTGTGTATAATGAGAGAAAAAAACTGAAATCATGATTTTTCGATTAAAACAGCAACTTTGCAGTGTTTTTTCGTATGTTTTTTATAGTTGTATTTGCGATTTCTTGGTCTCATTTGATAGAATGGAAGACATATTACAGAAATAGAGATGATTTTGATTGGTTTTAGCACTGGAAATGGCTTGAAACTGAGCTCAAAATAGCGGAAATGTTAAATTTTTGCCGATATTCAAGAGTATACAAACGACCTCACACGTCTAATACACGCCAGCTGGTGGGTCTAATATACATTCACAGATATGGTGATGATATTTATACAATTATTTCAGTATTGCATAACAGTAAATCTTCTATTTTTAGGTGTGAATAAAAATTCATTATGTGAATAAAAAATCAAAATGAAATTTATTGATAAAGCCTCAAAACATAACTAATGAACAGAGGAAATGTTAGTTTAGTGCCAGGAACGCCTACATTGTTTATTCTGGACCCTATTTTGAAATTGGAATATTTTGAACTTTGTGTTAAATTGGCCAAATTAACAATTTCCGATCACTTTATTTTGTAGTTGAAACAGTTGACTTGGTGATTTCTTGTGCTCAATCGATAGAATAGAAGTAATACTAGTGAAATAGCTAAGAATTTGGTTGATTGGAATAATGTAATTGGCCTAAAATAGGAGTCAAAGTCGGCAAAATCGCCGATTCGTAAATATCGCTGACACATCAAAATTCGCGAGAGCATAATTTCGTCAAATTTCCACCAAATTTCGTACTTTTTGTTTTATTACCTTCACAAAAAGATTCTCTACGATTTCCTAAGAAAAAATAACAAATTTTTTTTTTTTTAAATTCTTGGACACTGGTGCGTGACTCCAGATTTGGGCCTTGTACCCTGAAAGGGTTAATCCTGACTCTCTCATTGACTTCTTGACAACGACTGATTTACTCTACAAACTCTGATGATGATACCTTTCGCACTCCCCTCAGCCCTTTCTAGCTCAGTCTCTTGCTGCCCTTTACCCTTTCACCATCCACTGCCCCGCTGTTATCCGTAACCTATTACTCATCCACCTCCCTTTTGCCACCTGATGCCCTCGCTTCCTTCCTGCCCTGCAGCGCTGTATAGTCCTTGTGGTTTAGCGCTTCTTTTTTATTATAATAATAATCTGGTATCTCTTTAAGGTTTGCCTAAAATGGGACGAGGCATTGTCAGTGAACATGTTGCAGACACGGCTTGCAGCAGCTTTGTTAGGGTGATATTTCACCACAAAACTTTGCAACTCGCTCCACTTTGCACACACGTCCTTAATTACTGAAGAAGGCATGTTCTCCCCTTTCTCTTTCTCTGAAGCAATTTCCTCAGCTGCAGTCCTTTGCTGTTTGCAGTTGAAGGTCTTGCAGCTTTTCAGTGGTAAGCTCTTCCCTGTTGTCGTCCACCAGCTCTTCCACATCCTGGCCACTCGTATCCAACCCCATGGACATTCCCAAAGGGCTGGCACTCGGAACTTTCTTTGGCCCCATGGTGGCTTATTTAGCAGTCGCACTTGATAAACAAGCACAAAAAACAATGGATTATTACGAAATGTTTCGGATGAATGCTCGGGGTGATGCTCACTCAACGAGAAACAAAGGCAGACTGAGTCACGAATGCATGGGGTGCTTTGAGTGGCCGAGTCATGCGGACACGTTTGGTACAGACCATTTTCAACTCTATGAAAACCGAGCGGATGCACGAAAATTGAGACAAAATTTTAACAAAAAAAAGTTGTCGAAACCCAAATCTTACAAAAACTGGGGCATACGAAAACAGAGGTTCCACTGTGTTTGTCTTTTGATAACAAATTGCTGGGATTATAGTATAAATAGTGTAATATAGTATAAATAGTGTAATATAGTATATATAGTGTAATATAGTATATATAGTGTATTGTCATAATTTCATCAAGGTACCCATTAATTTTTATTCAGTTACTCAAATAGAATTATTTTAATTTCATTTTCAGCCTTGTATATTGACATCAGAGTTGATCAACCCAGGACTGCTGGTAGAGGTTGTTCTAGCACCTGATTGTGGTGAGCTACAGCAACTGGGACTAAAAAAGTTTCCAAATTCTCATCAACTCTCTATCAATGTCATCTTTATATTCAGCAAAAGTTTAGAGACTACTATGAACATTTACAAGGAGCTGCATATTGGCAAGTTCTCGTGGGTGAGTATTAACTCTCTTGCTGTCATTTTGCTGTCATTTAGACTATGGATGTAAATGCTCTGGAAAACGTACAGAGGAGGATGACATAGATGATCCCATGTATCAGAAATCTTCCCTATGAGGATAGACTGAGGGCCCTGAATCTGCACTCTCTTGAAAGGCGTAGAATTAGGGGGGATATGATCGAGGTGTATAAATGGAAAACGGGAATAAATAAAGGGGATGTAAATAGCGTGCTGAAAATTTCCAGCCAAGACAGGACTCGCAGCAATGGTTTAAAGTTGGAAAAATTCAGATTCAGGAAGGATATAGGAAAGCACTGGTTTGGTAATCGAGTCGTGGATGAGTGGAACAAACTCCCGAGTACAGTTATTGAGGCTAAAGCATTGTGTAGTTTTAAAAATAGGTTAGATGAATACATGAGTGGGTGTGGGTGGGTGTGAGTTGGACCTGACTAGCTTGTGCTGCTGGGTCTGGTGCCATGCTCCTTCCTTGAGTGGAGGTGACCAGACTGGGTGGGTCATAGGGCTAATCCAGGGGGGGGGGTCATGGACCTGCTCTGCATGGGTCAGTAGGCCTGTTGCAGTGTCCCGTCTTTCTTATCTTCTTATAATATTACAGCTTCCAAGCCCGTGTCGGTCCCGTAATACTACGCCAAAATTCTAGCAGCTTCCAATCTTGCAGGAGAATGCTGGTAGACCTACATGAGAGAATGGGTCTTAGTGGTCAGTGTGTGCAGTATAAAAAGTATTTGCAGCATGCAGCGCATAACGAGAAAAGAACTGCAACCGTATTTTTGGTTTAAAACGGCAACTTTGCAATGTATTTTTGTATGGTATTTATGGCTATATTCCCCGTTTCTTGGTCTCATTTGATAGAATGGGAGATATATTATACAAATAGAAATGATTTTGAATGGTGTACAAACTGAGAGTAGCGTGAAAGTGAGCTCAAGTGTAGCGGAAATGTTCAATTTTTTGACGATGTCCAATGCATGTCAGTTAGTGGGTCTAATATGCTTTCACAAATGAATTGATATTATTTATAGCATTTTTACAATAATGCAGTAGTCTGCATAACAGTAAATCATCTACTTTTTGTGTGAATGAAAATTCAAAATGTAAAGCAAGTGTAATATAAAAGGGGCCTGGAGACGTGACTAATGAACAGAGAAAATGTTATTTTAGTGCTAGGAATGTTTGTTTATTCTGGATCCTATATTGAAATTGGCCTTTTTTCTTGCATTTTTTTACAAAATTGGCCAAATTACCAATTTCTGATCACTATTGGGTAGTTGAAATAGGTAAATGGGTGGCTTCTTTATCAATAGGGCAAAAGGAGTGCTAGTGAAATAGCTATGAATATAGTCGATTGGAACAAAGAATTAGCCCAAAATAGGGCTCAAATTGGTCAAAATCACTGATGCGTAAATATCACCGAGACCACTAACTTCGCGAGAGCATAATTTTGTAATTTTTTTTTTTTTTTTTTTTTAAATTCTTTGGCACGGAGAACAAATTTGTGAGCAGGGGTCTTGACAGTGAAAGGGCTAATGGAAAGTAAGCTCTTATTAGTATTTATTGCTAAAGGGTTGATAAATATATTGACATTGTATAGTGCTTCTTATCAATACTATGTCTGGAATCAAGCTAAATATATTTAAAGAAACATTATAGTACAGTGCCCACAAAAAAAAAGACCTCAATTTTATTATTATAAAAACTGTTAAAAGGCAGCAATATAAACAATACAGAACAAAACCTCTAATACTTCATACTTAAGTGCATTTATATTTTTTCCCTGTGGCCTTGATAACCATTTGAAGCCATTTGGGTTTAAAATGGTTATCAAGGCTACAGATTCTTGAAGGCCCTCAGGTTTCTGAAGTAATTAATGGATAACTGGTTGACCCAAGTGTCCTTGATCTGCTGTTACAGGTATGACATGGATGAAATGTGGCAAGATTCCATCTTTTTCATGATATTCCAGACATTCTCAATAGGAATGAGGCCTGAACTATTCCCTGGCCTCTGTAAAAAACAATAATTTTCTCAGCAAGCCACTTGGTTACTTATTTTTGGCCTTGACAGGGGGTGCTATCATTCATGAAGGTGGGGCAGTTGTGAATTTTTAAATATTCAGCAGGTGGTCCTTGAGAAGAGTGATATAGTGGTTGGCATTACTGTAACATTTTGGGGAAGGAAGTACAAACCCCCATGACAAAGTAAAACACTAAAGTAACCCCAAACCATGACGGATTGTGGGTGCTTTACGATGCTCACTGTGCGTGCATGGTCATACCTGCTGATGGAGGAGGGGTGCCTCACCCTGCTTTGATGACCTTGAATGGACTGAAAGATGGATTCATCTTACCACAAGACTTTCCAGTCGTCAACACCCCAGTGTGCATATTTCCTGGCAGACTGCAGGCACTACTTCATATGGGGTGTGAGTAGGGCTTTCCTTGCAGCATGACGACTTGAAAGGCAGAGGTAGGTCTGTAGGTGATGGATGCAATGAATTGTGGCATTCAGGATCTATTTCTTTGAGCTGTGATGCAGTCATATGGGGATGTCCATGAGGTTCTCTGCATAGAATGTTATCTGTTTTTAGATGTCCTCCTTGGTCATCCAGTATGAGGTTTTGTAGCGGGAACATTGATGAGAGGCCATGGGGAACATCAAGTAACACCAATATGCTGCATTTTACTCATCCAATATGGTGACAAATTTTGTGTGCTGATTTTTTCTTGTCTCCAAGCCAGTATACAGGTTTTTTCTTGCTCTTCATCTTGGAATAATTCATATTTATCCTTTTGGCACAAAATTACACATCACTTAATACAGCTCCAAATCCTGGGTACTTTGGGGAAGAGCAATCCAGTAGGACAACTTATCCCACTTCCATATGCAGGTGCACTGAGAGGTGATACATACTGCAGTCTCTGTTATTATTTCAGAGTTAGCAGATACCCCCAGAAGACATTCAGGTGAAGTATAGCATCAAATATGCAATATGAATCTGGACCACTTTATACTGTTTATAATGGAGGCTTCACCACCTTTATGCATTATAGCATCCCCATGTAAGAAGACCAAAAAAGTAATCAAGTGGCTTGCTGAGAAAAATATTGAGGTTTTACAGTGGCCAGGGTATAGTGTAGACCTCATTCCTATTGAGAATGTCTGGAATATCATGAAGATAGAAGCTTGCCACATTTTATGTTATACCTTCAGCAGGAGATGAAAGATATTTAGGTCAACCAGTTATCCATTAATTACCTCAGGAATCTGAGTGCATGCATGCCCAAATGGCAAATTTTGGAAGCTTCATGATAGAACAAAAAAATATTGTCTCCCAATATCTTTAAAAAGTCAAAAAAAAATTGAAATTAATTAATATGTAATGATAAATATTTACTGTGCTAATTTTATCTCATTTTGCTAACTTATTACATTGCTTCATAAAATCTGATGCCAGATATCATATCTTAATGGGTGCTGAGAGATGGTGCAGAATCAGTGTGTGACCTAATAGCAAATGTCTCCAATCAATCTGTCTAGTAGGACAACTGTCAGAAAACTGGGAAAAAACAAATGCATTTCCCATCTGAATAACTGATTACATAAATTATTCATGCTGCATTTTTTTTTCTCCCTCAGAGGTAGGGCAACCTGAAAAAAAAAAAAAAATTCACCATTCACTCCATCATTGTGATGCTAGAGGTATGCCGATGTTACATTTTATATTCTTCAAATTGCAATATCCCCACCCCCTCCTTCAGTGCAAACTCTCTACAGCCTCTTCTCACTTAACAACGGAGTTAGGGGCCAAAGATCCCGTCAATAAACGAATTAGTTGCTAATCAAGGAATCACCCCTTACTGACACTTCAAAAATGTCACTACCCAAAATTAAAACATTCAATTTTATGTTTGCTGGGAAATTCCTTTCAATTTGTTTATTATTAACGGTAATACAACATAAAATAGGTCAATGACTGACTGACTGAGATATTCCAGGAAATGCCTGCATAGCTGATTTTTTTTTTTTTTTTTTTTTTTTTTTAATCGCACTTTTTTCAGTCTGCATAGGATAAGAATGATCTTCTATAGTTACCCTTCATGCACGTAACATTTTCTATAATGGTAGAGGTCGCTTTTTTTTTTTTTTTTTTTTATATTATCCCTCCCTGCGCTCCAACCTTCCATACCTCTATAATATCAGTTTCATTAATTTGATATCTTTATTATGCTTCTGGTAGACCTGTACTGGGAATTTATATGGGGTGGTTTGAATGCATTTATAATGACAATTCTGAATTTCGAATTCATTTTTCACTGCATCTCCTGGTCTAACCCTCTTAGGTTTTGCACTTAAAAGAGCATGTTACATTAAAAAAAAAATTTAACCTGGTTATTTTAACTTTTCATGGAAATAAATGTGTTCTGCTTATGTTCATTACTTTTTTTTTTTTTTTTAATTTTATCTCTCGTATTGTATTATGTATTTTTTCATTGGTTTAAGCACCAACTGATCTAAAGTATGTTGTCAAATTACTCTGTAATTACCACTACTACTATGAAACTTATTTCCTTCTTTTCACATAAACTATTTTTATGGCTAACATATTAATTAAATTTTTCAGGCAAATGTTTTCAGCTCTCTCTCTGATCTTCATAAGAAGGCGAGATGCAAGACGAGCCTCAACACTGGTGATAATCAATGGAAAAAACCTCTAGGTTCTTTGAAAAGTAAGAAAAATGAAACCATGAAAATGGGTGTGCAAGAAAAGTGCAAGGAAACTCGTAAGAACTTGGTGAAGTTACCAGAGGAAAATAAAAGGACAAATGATAAAATATCTAAAAATGAGTACACTAAAGGTAAACTGGGGAAACAATCTGACCTAAATATGGCTGAATTTGTTCAATGTATTAAATGTTCGGAGGCAAAATGTTTGTGCTCTTTAAAGACTGAAGAGATTCTTGAATCTTCAGAAAGTGGCAAGATAGTAAATTCATCTGTAAACAAGGCCACGGAGTTGGATAAAGGGGATAAGAAGGCTTTGGGAGAAACAGTTACAGAATGTGGGAAATCGTTGAAAGGAAGGAAAGGGAATCAACCTAGCAAACTTCATAAGATCAGTATCTTGGATACAGAAAAGTTACATGAAGTGTTTTGTTCAAAAGACATATGCAAGCCAGACATTATTAAGCCTAGTATGCTGAAAAAGAAGGAACTTGAAAATAGCTTGAAAAGAACCTCTTCACAGTGTAGCAGTAAAGAATCAAATAAATTAAAAGATGTCATCCCTGGCCTTGTGATGTCATCTGAAACAAGGAAGCCTAATAGGAAAGATGTGAAAAATTCCAAGGTGTTAAGTACATTCCCAAAGCATCATTTACCCTCCAGTGACTTGTTGAAAGACAAGTCAAAAGATACGAAGAAATCATTCAAGTGGACTATTAAAAATTTTACAAAAAAAAATCCATTAATGAGGGGGTGCAAAATTAAGAAAAGGAAACCTTTAAATAGAGAGAAACTGGTGGAAGGTGGAACATGTAAAGAGAATAAGGAGACTGGTTGTTTGAAAGATGAAAAGATTTGTAAGAACTCAGAGCTAATTGAAGAAGACAAGAGTTTGATTGAATCAGAAGAAATCTCCAAATCTCTAGTGCTTCTTCCTGTAAGAGAGGGAGAACTAGAAGAGACCAATATTAATGAGAAAACTAGCAAGCTGTCTAAGTCATTCAGTTTGAGTCATACTGGAAAAGAATTTAGCACATCCTACAATGCGAGTAAAGATAATGTATGTAGTAAAACAGGATTGAGTAATTATCAGCATTTACTTGAAACTTCAGAATTTAAGAGAAAGATTGATGACAAAGCAGCAGAGGAATTTTGTGCCCCAAGGAAGAAAGTAAAATTAAGTGACAGAGATATAAAACAGTCAGACACAGTCACCATTTCTAAGATATGTGATTCACAAGAAAATACATTTAATTCAGTGAATCCAATAGATGCAAGTTTAGGACTTAAAAAAACAGAAAATACAAATGATGGCTTTCATAGTCCCAGAATGGAAGTTCGAGTAAATAATAATACTGATATTAAAGAAATGAAAGATACACAAAATTTTATTTTTTCAGGTAATGAGAGAGACAGAGTAGAGGAAGTGAGAAAGCCTCACCAAAATATAAATCCTCCCCAACCCTCTTGCCCACTACAGATAAAAAAACTTGAATTGAAGTCTGCACATATTGGTGATAAGAGACATCAGAGAATATGTAAAGAAAAAGAAATAAAATCACCTTTACCTGAGTTTGAATGTATCACTGCTGACAGTGTGCTAGATGGTTTGGAGAAAGGATCAAGCTGTGTTACTCAAGATAATAAAGAAAAACTAAAATTGGAAGCAAATGGAAAGGTTGCATTATACAGTTTAAAAGACAGCCTTGCTGTTTCTGACGACTGTATACCAGGCACAGTACAAATTCTGATAGACAAAGATCTAAAAGCAATTGTAGATCATCCAGTTGATCTTTGTTGCCTTAATCTAAAGCCATCTAATCTAGAATATCCAAATAATGAAAGTTCCCAACAGCAAAAAGCTAAACCTGAAATTATGGGAACTGAAGTTGATATGCTTTCACTTAATTTGTCTTCCTCAAATGTAGAGAAGCAAAGCTTACTTGATGTGTGTAATGAAACAGTGATAGTTGATGAAAGTACTATTAATGCTTCAAAAACTGCCAAATTATCCTCCAATGATATAGTGACCTCTTCGGATATGAGCAAGAAAGTGTCAATGTGTAACTCTGAGCAGTCCCTGGCTGTTAAGCTACCCTTGTCATCTATGTCTGTGGCAGTAGTCACAAATGAATTGCTTGCTGATGGTAGCAAGCTCAGTTTAGTTGAAAAGTCAACTCTTCCTCCAGATAAATCAATACCAGGACCACTTACAGTGTGCCACCCTCCAGGACATTCCCAGAAGCCAGGAACTTGTATGTTTTCACCTAGCAATTTACAGTGTCTTTCAGAGGGATCTCTTGATAAAGAAAAACCCTCTTGTGCAGATAAATTGTATGATAGCAAATTCAGATGTCATAATAAATTTAAAAATGAGGATAAATTTAAAATAAGTAATTTAAATTGTGTACTAGTAAATTCAGACAATTCTAGTGTTCCTTCAATATCAAAAGTGCAAAAGACTAGAGTAAGTGATGATGCATCTTGTATAAAGTCAATAAATGTACATAATTCTCCAAAGTTTAATGATAAAGAGAATGTTAGTCCCTCACAGATTACAAAATTTTCAAAAGTTGAATGTGTGCAGCTAAACCCACTTGAAAATCAAAAGGAAAATGCAAAACAAATAATTCCAGATCTAAACAATAGTTCAGCTTCTCAAGGATTTCGGAGGATACAGAAAAAAGCTCGTGTAGATATCACACCACATGCAAATGTCACTGAAGTGTTTAAAAATACAGATGCTTCAAGTTGTATTGCATTGCAATGCAGTGCACATAATGAATTTGGAGAGAGTAAAAGTGGTCACTCACACTGTTTAGAATTTGATGTCAATCCTTGCCATAGGCAATCAAGTTCAAATTTGGAATCATTCTGTAAAGGGATGAAAAATAAAATACAGTCATACAGTAATTGTTTAGCAAGTAATGATGTTGAATCCCCTCTTCATGGTGGAATAAAGACTTTAGCAAACTTTATTAGGAAACCATTACATATGGATCAAAATGTAAGATGGAAATATTGTGTTGAAAACAATGCTAGTAATGGAGGTCAGCAGCTGGGATTTGCTCATTTAGATAAGCAACTCAGAGCACTAATTGTTCAACAACTCATAGAGCTACATGAACCACGTAAAACCAAAAATTCAAAATCTCTTTCCCATAGTCTGAGTGCAGAGAAGTCTTGCTTGAAGTCTCAGATACTTCAAAACCTTCAGATGTCAGGCCACAGTAGCAGTAAGCATGACTATTATGAGGAAAATCATGGAAGTGAAAATACACTAAAATATAATGAATTGAAAACTAATACCAAACCTTCAATAGTGAAAAGCTCCATGTCTTCTAATGTAGCAGTGGTAAGAGGTTGTCAGCTGCCAGTCCAATTCTGCCCTCAAAGAACATCATCTCCAAAAACTGAGGGTGAAAGCTTGTACACCTGGAAAGGTAGTTCTTCTCTTGAGTCATCAGAGGTATTACAAGAGCCAAAGTATATCCACCTTCTTGGTGCAGATCAACAGGAAGTTGTCAAACTGAAGGTTAGTTATTAGCAGTATGTTGCTAATATTCTTTTTTTTTCTCTCATTTTTTTTAATTTATGTAATTTTTATGTTCTGATAATTACAGGTCATAGTAGTTCTTGTGAGTTCATAGCCAATCTTTGCTCAGACACAAATATTAGGTGTGAATGTAATAATCAAACGGTTACTAACATACTGACAGGTGAACATGTTCACCTGCCTCAGTCACATACTATTGTCTGGAAATGTATACATATTACTTATAGGTCCAAGCAATATTTTTAGAAGTGCTGGAGTATATGAAACTCCTAGTAGCTTGGTGTCACTATACAGGTCTCCCTCCACATTCGTGAGGGTTAGGGGATCAAGAACCTCGCGAATGTTGAAAAATCACAAATGTTTGGTGCGCAAATATATTGTAGGGAAATATAATAATAGCATTTACTTAGCCTAACAATACTGCTTCCTTAACGTGTTGAACTATGAACAATCATAAAACACATGAAAACATCGTAAAATATTGTACTAGTGCTAGCCCTTTGGTAAAGGTGAGAAAGACTATAGAATTCAAGAAAGAACTCATAGCAGAGTACCAAAGTGGGGGAGGAAGAGAGAGGAGAGAATGTGCTGCCTTCAGTGATTCTACGATATGTGTGATACTAAAGCAGCGTGAGTCGAAACCCCTCCTTTAGAGTGCAGGCATTGTACGTACTTCCCATTTCCAGGACTCAAGTCCAGCTATATAAAAATAACCGGTTTCCCCGAATCCCTTCACTAAATATTACCCTGCTCACACTCCAACAGATCGTCAGGTCCCAAATACCATTCATCTCCATTCACTCCTATTGAACACGCTCGCGCACACTTGCTGGAAGTCCAAGCCCCTCGCCTACGAAACCTCCTTTACCCCCTCCCTCCAACCTTATCGAGGACGACCCCTACCCCGCCTTCCTTCCCCTACAGATTTATATGCTCTCCAAGTCATTCTACTTTGATCCATTCTCTCTAAATGACCAAACCACCTCAACAATCCCTCTTCAGCCCTCTGACTAATACTTTTATTAACTCCTCACCGTCTCCTAATTTCCACACTCTGAATTTTCTGCATAATATTTACACCACACATTGCCCTTAGACAGGACATCTCCACTGCCTCCAACTACCTCCTTGCTGCAGCATTTACAACCCAAGCTTCTTACCCATATAAGAATTTTGGTACTACTATACTTTCATACATTCCCTTCTTTGCCTCTATAAATAATGTTTTTTTGTCTCCACGTATACCTCACGCACCACTCGCCTTTTTTCTTTCATCAATTCTATGATTAACCTCATCCTTCATAAATCCATCCGCTGACACGTTAACTCCCAAATATCTGAAAACATTCACTTCTTCCATACTCCTCCTCTCCAATTTGATATCCAATTTTTTCTGTATCTAAATCATTTGATACCCTCATCACCTTACTCTTTTCTATGTTCACTTTCAACTTTCTACCTTTACACACACTCCCAAACTCGTCCACTAACCTTTACAGTTTTTCTTTATAATCTCCCATAAATACAGTATCATCAGTAAAAAGTAACTGTCAATTCCCATTTTGTATTTGATTCCCCATAATTTAATCCCACCCCTCTCCCGAACACCCTAGCATTTACTTCTTTTACAACCCCACCTATAAATATACAGTGGACCCCCGCATACCGATTTTAATCCGTGCAAGAGGGGTCATTGGTATGCGAAATAATCGGTATGCGAATGAATTTTCCCCATAAGAAATAATGGAAATCAAATTAATCCGTGCAAGACACCCAAAAGTATGAAAAAAAAAATTTTTACCACATGAAATGTGGTAAAGATTCCCATATGCTGCATAAGTGTCTCAACCTTCAACTTGTCGGTTTTTCAACCATTCATCACACATATGTCTCTTCCCATTCAGACCCAGCTGTGCTTGGAAACACTGTAAACAATGGACTGCTAAAGATATATGCTTGGATGATAACCAGCAAACTCACTCTCAACATAGACAAAACATACTTTATGCTGTTTGGCAACAGAGCCTCAAGTATCCAACTCAACATACTGTTAAATGGTTCCCCTATATCAAGAGACATGGAGGGCAAATTTCTAGGTCTTCTCCTGGACTGTAATCTTAAATTTCAGTCCCATACCCATCACATAGCCAAGAAAATTTCCAAATCAGTAGGAATCCTTTCCAAGATACGATGCTATGTACCACAAACGACTCTCCTTACTCTGTACCACTCTAATATATCCTTACCTCACCTATGGTATTTGTGCCTGGGGCTCAACCTCAACCAACCACCTTAGACCCTTAATAATCCAACAAAAAGCTGCTGTGCGGGTGATAACCAGCTCCTGTGCTACACAGCACACCCCACCACTTATCAAAAGACTCAACTTTCTAAATATACATGACATACAAGACCTAGTGAACCTAAACCATACCCCCGGCCGGGATTGAACCCGCGGTCATAGTCTCAAAACTCCAGCCCGTCGCGCTAGCCACTAGACCAGCTAGCGCGACGGGCTGGAGTTTTGAGACTCTATGACCGCGGGTTCAATCCCGGCCGGGGGTATGGTTTATTTGCAATCGTGTCATTACGATTTCTTAAGCCTAGTGAACCTAAATTGTCAGCGGAACAACACAAGGATAGTGATTAACATAATGGAAATGGTTTAAACTAAAATGTGACAGAAGTGCCACAGAAGTACATGACAAGTGCCACATACCCTGAGTGGTGTGCTACAATCATATGTCTGGCAGTGCTGCCAGGCACCCACTCAGGCCTACCATATTTACCTACCCATCCACCTACCCATCCACTACCCACATGCCACAAACTTGGTTTTTATAAATACATCTTGCATATTACTGTCACCAGTAAGAGAAAGGTAAAGTGGAAATCAGTTTTGTTCTGTGGCATACAGAGTGTAGTAGGATACAGGCAGGATGTCAGTACAGCATACCTGTGGGACATGTAAAAAAAGCCTTGGAAGGAAATTCAGAATCACATGCAACCATTGCTTTTCCAAACATCATATCTCTTGTACTAGACTAAACACAGCCTCAGAAAATGACCTCGAACTAGCAAGGTGTTTCTGGTTGTGAAATAAAGATATAGGACTTTGGGCAGGTATCAGAAAGGTACTAAGGAGAGTAATAAATGATAAAAATAATCAAGAAAACAAAGATGACATCTTGGACAGTCTACCAAAAAATATATAAAACATGGGAGAAAGAGATAAGAGTGAACCAAAAAATGCAGAACGCCCATACCACAACAGATGACTCGAAACTAACTAGTCGCCCACTGAAAAAAAGACAGGAAACCAAAACATCAATTAACCCAACTCCCTCACATAGTGCTAACCCAGACCCATCCCCCAGTCATAGCACTAATGCCCACAGTGCTGGTGCTGGCCCAGACTCAGCCCCCAGCCCCTATTCTGACTCAGTCTCAGCCTCCAGCCTTACTGCCAGTCCAGACTACTAGGGACCCTACCACAGTCACCACTAAAACCTTAAATATACAACCATCATTTCACAAGACCATAGCCCACATTACAGATGTAGGGGAGGAATCTCCTTCTACTGAGGAAAGTAGATGGAATCCAGGATGGGTTGGCCCTGGCTTGAATACTGTGGATAATAGTGCAGTCCCAGAGCCTGCAGAAATTGACAACACACCTCCCAAAAATTCTATCCAACCAAAAGTGAAATTGTGCAAATACTATGTTTGGGGCATCTGTAAGCATGGAATATCAGGAAAAAAAAATGGGACATGCAACTTTGAGCATCCCAAAAAATGTAGTGACCTGTCTAAAGGGGTGTGTCATTATTCTTCCTGTACTTTCGTTCACCCAAAAATGTGTCACTCCTTAGTCCTCCAAAAGCAGTGTTACAACATCAGCTGCCCTGTATACCATCTAAAAGGGACCAGGAGGCACAGACCCCACAAGACAAATAGTAGTAGCTACAACAACCCAAGTCCAGGTGATTTTTTAGTGGCAGGAAACGGAAAAAGAAAATGGAAGGAAATAACAAAAATAGTCCATCACCTTGGAGCCTTGTTGGATTGGAAGCACAGCCAGTGGCCACCCATGACCCTCCAGAACTACCACTACTGATGCCAATAACAAAATCCCCCCAACAAACACTGAATACAACCCCGTTTATATTTGCTAATATACAGGGCCTTAAGCCATCCACCAACAACAAAATACCTTTTATCAGTAGACTTCTAGAGGAGTCTAATGCAATGTGCATTAGATCACTTTGACAGTGAAATATGGATAAGTGGATACAACCTTTTTAGATGTGACAGAAAGAACAGGCAACAAGGGGGGGGTTGCCTTGTATGTCAAGAGTCGCTTATCTGCACGGAGTTGCTGAACACCACAAATGATGTAGTTGAAGTTCTGTCAATAAAGATCGAGAGCCAAAACCTAGTCATCGTGGTTGTATATAAACCACCAGATGCAACCTCCCAACAGTTCAAGGAACAGCTACTGAAAATTGATTACTCTTTGGAAAGCCTTCCAGCTCCATCCCCAAACTTCTTACTGCTTGGTGATTTCAACCTAAGGCATACAAAATGGAAGAAAGTAGCGAATAATGTTATAGCAAAAACAATCTCTTGAGGTAACGCAGATGAAAGGTCACACACGAGCTACTAAGTCTGCGATAAACACACCTTAAGCCAGCAGATAGAGGAGCCAACAAGACTAGAAAACACACTTGACCTTATCTTCACAAATAATGAGGACCTGGTAAGAGACATAAAAATATCAAAAACAACTAATTCTGATCCCAATCTAATTGAAGACCAGACTTACATGCACAGGGGTCCTGATCAGCAAAATTCATGTAACTGTGAAGGTGTCTTTACAAAATACAATTTCAACAACAAGAACATCAACTGTGACCAGGTAAACCATGTCTTAAATGAAACATGTTGGGCAATGGAGAACAACATGACGTTCATTGGTG